AAAAAAAAAAAGAAAAGAAAAGAAATGAACATGAGGAAAGAAGGCTGTCAGGGCCTGCCAGCTGGGCTCAGTGGCTACACCAAGGACAAAATCAGTTGTCTCTGAGAAGTTCTTGCCAGTGGGTACAAAAGACAAGGTGGTCAACAGCAGAATGGTGCTGCCAGCTGTCTCCTGATTCTGGTGTCAAAAACCTTAGTTGTGGAGCAGCCCAAAGGAGCCAGGGCCACATGCAGCTTTTAGGCAGAGCAGCTTGGATAAAACCATAGCCAGAGTGTGGCCAAGCCCATGTTAGACTCAACTCTCCCGACTAGCAGAGCCCCAGGACAGGCCAACTGGGGACACTGGTACTTCAGGACAGAATGAGGGTAACAAGACAGAGAAACTGCAAGTGAGATTCGTTTTCTCTTGTGGTTCCCATTACCATCATTTAATTCTTCAAGTATCAGTTGCCTCCCTCCCTCCCTTTCTTCTCAGGGCTGTGTCCCTGGCTGTGCCCTTCCTCCAGGCTGTCAAGTTAGCTCCTGTCCTCACCCACCCCTTCCTCTGATCAAGGCTCAGGCATCGGCACAACCTGGTAACAGAAGACAGGTGCGCGGGGCCTGGTTGCATGTTGTGTCCACTGGCTGTCTTCTCTCTCCTGTGTAGGAAACAAGTACTTTTCTCAGTGGAAAGGCCTAGAAGATAGCTTTCATTTCCCTTTAGCCTCCTAGAAGGGGTATCTGTCTTCCTCAGGGTCATGTCAGATTTTCTGAAGGTCACAGGAAACATAACACACTCGTGGGAAGAAGACTCTGAAAATGTTTGTGTGAGTGCTGCCACCATAAGCAAGCCCATTTTTCATAAGCGCAGTTTGTAGGGCCCTTGCACACATGCAACACCTGGCCCAGGGCACAGCAGCATTTCCTCTGAGCTGAGTAGTTTAGACAGAGCACTAGTAAGCTCATCTCTGTATGTGGTTGCCTGTTGGAAATGTGTCAGAAGCCACAAGACAACACATGGGTAAGAAAGAATTGTCCTCAAACAATGCAGGTCCTGCCCAGCTGCTGGGGAGGGAGTGGGGGCTACTTCTGGCAGGTAGGCAGGCCTGGGAGTAATGCTCTCTGTGTCCTGCCTTGTAGCAGCAGTGGACGGCAGCTCAGCGAGGTGTTCATCCAGCTTCCCTCACGCAAGGAGCTGCCTGAGTACTATGAGCTTATTCGCAAGCCCGTGGACTTTAAGAAGATAAAGGTAATGTCATGTGTGTGCCCTGCAGAGCATCTGAGAGCCATGATGTGTGGGAAGGAGGATCAGAACGGCCTGTGCAGGATGTCAGGCCACCTGGTTGGGGCCTTATTCATGGGCTTTAGGGGTCCTTGTGGCGATAAGTGTCCCAGTGGCCCAGATGGAATGTCAGCAGGTGGCTGGTACCAGGGGTGCCTTGGAGCGTACCCACAGTCCTGAGCCTTAGTGTGTGGCTCTCACGTCCAGTGAGCTGGGCTCCCGAGTTTGTACAGACAGGCTTTGGCCACATCCTCAAGGACAGTAGGGTCCCAGGCACACAGTAGGGAGGGTGGGGTGGGCCCTAGGGTAAGGCCTACTCTCTCCATCTCCCTCAGGAGCGCATCCGCAACCACAAGTACCGCAGCCTCAACGACCTGGAGAAGGACGTGATGCTCCTGTGCCAGAATGCGCAGACCTTCAACCTGGAGGGCTCCCTGGTGAGGGTCACTGCCAGGAGCCGCTGGAGCTGGGGGTGCCCACCCCACCCTGGGCCACCAGCAGGGTTCACTGCTGGCCCTGAACCCACACACTCATGGGTCTCTCTGAACTGATGGGCTAACAAGAAGTTCCCATCACTTGCAGACTGTTACTGATGACAAAAGTGCAGTGTATTGCCAAGAGTAAAGATAAGCACAGTCCCCTCAGCCAGGATGGCTTTGAGAGCGTCTGGAATTTTGGAATTTTATTTTATTTTATTTTATTCTATTTGTCTGGGGGAGGTTGTTGTTTTGAGACACAATCTTATTCTGTAACGTGGGTAGAGTGACATCAGGTCATAGCTCACAGCAACCTCAAACTCTTGGGCCCAAGAGATCCTCTTGCCTCAATCTCTTGAGTAGCTAAGAGTACAGGCCCCACCTCCACACTCAGCTAGTTTTTCTGTTTTCAGTAGAGATGGGGTCTAACTCTTGCTCAGGCTGGTGTCGAACTCCTGAGCTCAAGCAATCTATCAGCCTCAGCCTCACAGAGTGCTGGGATTACTGGCGTGAGCCACCACATCTGGCTGGAATTTTATTTCTCATTTATTTATTTTGAGACAGAGTTACTCTGTTAACCTGGGTAGAGTACCGTGGGGTCATAGCTCACAGCAACTCCAAACTCTTGGGCTCAAGCAATTGTCTTGCCCCAAATCCCCAAGTAACTCTGACTATAGGTACCAATTGGCTAGTTTTTTCTATTTTTAGTAAAAATGGAGATCTCACTCTTGATCAGGTTGGTCTTGAACTTCTGAGCTCTAGCAATCCACCCACCTTGGCTCCTCAGCGTGCTAGGATTAGAGGCATGAGCCACTGTGCCTGGCCCAGAAGTTTGTTTGATTTTGAAACAGAGTCTTAGTTTTGAGACAGTCTAACTTGCTGTGAGTAGAGTGCTGTGGTGTCATCATAGCTCATGCAACCTCATTCTCTTGGGCTTAAGAGCTCCTCTCAAAAAAAAGAAAAAAGAGGCTTGGCATCTGTGGCTCTAGTGGCAGGTTCGAATCCAGCCCAGGCCCGCCCAACAACAATGACAGCTGCAACCAAAAAATAGCTGAGCATTGTGGCGGGCGCCTGTGGTCCCAGCTACTTGGGAGGCTGAGGCAGGAGACTCGCTTGAGTCCAGGAGTTGGAGGTTGCTATGAGCTGTGATGCCACAGTATTCTATCCAGGGGGACAGCTTGAGGCTTTGTCTCAAAAAAAAAAAAAAAAGAGCTCCTCTTGCCTCAGCCTCCCAAGTAGCAAGTTGCTGGGAGACATATGCTCGTTTATTTATTTTTATTTATTTATTTTTTGGACAGTTTCACCATGTTGCCCTCGGTAGAGTGCAGTGGCATCACAGCTCACAGCAACCTCTAAGTCTCTGGCTCGAGAGATTCTCTTGCCTCAGCCTCCCAAATAGCTGGGACTACAGGCACCTGCCACAACACATGGCTATTTTTGTTGTTGTAGTTGTCGTTGTTTGATGGGTCTGGGCCGGGTTCAAACCAGCCAGCCCTGGTGTATATGGCCAGCCCCAAGCCACTGAGCTATAGGCACTGAGCCAGGTTTTTCTATTTTTAGTAAAGACGGAATCTTGCTCTTGCTCAGGTTGATTTTGAACTCCTGAGCTCAGGCAATCCACCTACCTCGGCCTCCCAGACTGCTAGAATTACTCTGTGCCTAGCCTGGAATTTTATTTTTAATGCCCTAGGCAGGGTACTTGCTTGGTAGAAATCCTTTGGCTATATCCTTTCCTTTGATGAAAAAGACACATATCTTCAGCTTAACAAAGTTTTGTGAAGTGTGTTTGGGATAATTGCCTTCTGGAAAATGGGTTTTACTCTGATAAGCTTGGGGTAGAAATGCTGGCATCAGCATGGAACTTGCATTTCTAACTTTACCACGGACCTCCTCAGAGCCTTTAAAAGTGGGTGCTTGGGCAGCGCCTGTGGCTCAGTGGGTAGGGCACCAGCCCCACATACCGAGGGTAGCAGGTTCAAACCTGGCCCCAACCAAACTGCAACAAAAAAATAGCCAGCGCCTGTGGCTCAAGCAGCTAAGGTGCCAGCCACATACACCTGAGGTGGCGGGTTCGAATCCCCAGCCCGGGCCCGCCAAACAACAATGATGGCTGCAACCAAAAAATGGCCAGGCGCTGTGGCGGGCACCTGTAGTCCCAGCTACTTGGGAGGCTGAGGCAGGAGACTCGCTTGAGCCCAGGAGTTGGAGGTTGCTGTGAGCATGATGCCATGGCACTCTAACCAGGGGGATAGCTTGAGGCTCCATCTCAAAAAAAAAAAAAAAAAAAATAGCCAGGCTTTGTGGCAAGCGCCCATAGTCTGAGCTACTAGGGAAGCTGAGGCAGGAAAATCTCCTAAGCCCAGGAGTTGGAGGTTGCTGTGAGCTGTGTGATGCCATAGCACTCGACGGAGGGCGATAAAGTGAGACTCTGTCTCTACCAAAAAATAAATAAATAAAAATAATAAAAGTGAGTGCTCACTGGGATTCTGCAAAGGGAGGGAGGCACCTATGGCCATTACCAGTCCAGTGGCCCTGGCCTTTTGTCCTGAAGCATTTCAGAACTTGGTGCTCTCTGTGCATCCTGAGAGAGGGTGGCCAAGAGGGCCCTCTGCCTTGGCTAAGCTGTAGCCCTCGTTCTCAGAAGGCTGTACCAGACAGTGCAGGTGAGTAGCTTTCTAGCTGGGCCCTCCTCAAGCCCCTTGCGTCTCTGCCTAGATCTACGAAGACTCCATTGTTCTACAGTCAGTCTTTACCAGCGTGAGGCAGAAGATTGAGAAAGAGGATGACAGTGAAGGTGAAGAGAGTGAGGAGGAAGAGGAAGGCGAGGAGGAAGGCTCCGAGTCCGAGTGTGAGTCTTGGGGGTGAGGTTGGGGTTCATGACTACTGGAGGGGCTCCCAGGCACCCAACTTGAGGGCACTGTATCTCTAGAGCTCATATCTCCATCCCCTGTCCTTTCTTGGTCCCTCTAGCCCGCTCTGTGAAAGTGAAGATCAAGCTTGGCCGGAAGGAGAAGGCACAGGACCGGCTGAAGGGGGGCCGCCGGCGGCCAAGCCGGGGGTCCCGGGCCAAGCCAGTGGTGAGCGATGACGACAGTGAGGAGGAGCAAGAGGAGGTGAGGGCTGGCCCTGGACGATAGCTCTGTGAGTGGCAGCAGGGGAAACCAAGACATGTCCTCATGTGGCTAGTCCTCAGTCACATAGACAGTGCCTCACAGAGCTGCCACTCAAGCCTAAGTCTTTGTGTCCTTGGAGCCAGCACCTTTAAAGGCCAGTAGGCATCTGGGTGCTGGAGGACACATGAGGCCTTAGCCTTCTGGCAATAGCCATCAGGGTTGCCTGCTGTCCCCACCATCACCCAGGAGACCAGCACTCTTGTGCTGGAATGGGAGAGAAGTCAGACAGTCCTGCATTCCCTCATGGGTGTCCTTATCGCACATAACAGACACTATACCCTGGCCCTGGGTCACTGCTCTTTGCTGCCTTTTTTTTTTTTTTTTTTAGAGACAGAGTTTCACTTTGTTGCCCTCGGTAGAGTACCGTGGCATCCCAGCTCACAGCAACGTCTAGCTCTTGGGCTTAGGGGATTCTCTTGCCTCAGCCTCCCAGGTCCCAGCTGGGACCTGCCACAATGCCCAGCTGTTTTTTGTTGCAGTTTAGCTGGGGCCAGGTTCGAACCCGCCACCCTTGGTATATGGGACTGGCGCCCTACTCACTGAGCTATAGGCACCTCCCTCTTTGTTTCTTCCAATTTGGCGTGTGTGGAAGGAATTCCAAACAGTACCAGTGGGTTCAAAACAAAAATAAAAATAAGCTGGGCATGGTGGCAGGCATCTAAAGTCCCAGCTACTCAGGAGGCTGAGACAGGAGGATCACTTGAGCCGAGGAGTTCAAGCTGCCATGAGCTTGGATTGCACTACTGCACACCAGCTTGGGTAACAGAGTAACACTTTGTCTCAAAAAAAAAGTTCAGTTTGGGTGCCTGTAGTTCAGTGAGTAGGGCGCTGGCCACGTACACCAAGGCTGGCAGGTTTGAGCCCAGCCCAGGCCTGCTAAACAATGTCAACTGCAACTAAAAAATAGCGAGGTATTGTGGTAAGTGACTGTAGTCCCAACTACTCAGGAAGCTGAGGTAAAAGAATCACTTAAGCCCAAGAATTGGAGGTTACTGTGAGCTGTGACACCAAGGGCAACATATTGAGACTGTCTTAAGAAAAGAGGCTGGGGCTCGGCGCCTATAGCTCAACCGGC